TATCAACTTGACAAGACATTTATTCATTTTTATACTTTTTTTGTTAGTGCATAAACAAAAAAAGGCTTCATTTATTAAACAAGTTTATTTCGATTTGATACGCTTCTCCTTTTATTTTAGAATAACAAGGTTTAAATATAAAAATCGCTAAACAAGTAGAAGCAGATAAATTAATAATATATTTAAGTTACTAACTTATCAAGAAAATAGTAATTTTATTTTTCTCTTTTCAAATCAACGTTACTTGCAGGTTATTTATTTTTTAAATGGATATATGTTTTATTTTTGCAAATGTATTACATGAATCTAATTATACTCATATATAGTAGATATTTAAAATATCAACAAGAAATTTTGCCACACTTGTACTAAATCAAGGAATAAATAATTATGTTAAAATTCAAGTGAAAACATTCCTGATAAACTCCTTATAAAATAATTTAGGTCAATGTTTAGATAGGAAAGAAATAGTTAAGGGTCATTTGTTACTACTATTGTACTAAATAGAAAATGTAAAAAATATTTTAATAATATTCGAAGAAGTATAAAATAAATATTTTGAATTGGAAAAATAAAAATGTAACATAAAAGTAAAAGAAATTTGGAGTGGTATAAAAATATTAAAACTAATACCATCCCAAAAAGTTAAGAGAAAAGTAGAAGATATTTAATAGAAGTACGTAGTAATTGAAAAAAGGAAAAACTAATACCATCCCTCGAAGCTGCAAAACACCTAAACCATCTGTCCTACTCTAACTATTATATGAATTACGGGTTCGTTACTATTTATTATCATTACTAACAAGGGGTTGATTATATACATATACATATATATACACTATAACATCTGGCGAACGGAGGGCGGCAACACCGGCTCGCTCCCCCTAGTTCCGCCACTGCCGTCCATCCATTTGCATTACAACTCAGCACCATAGATAAAATGCATATCTATGTTGGGGGTTTAATGCACCAAACTTCTCGTGAAATATAAATTTGACGCTTTAGTCTCTTGTGATTTAAAAAATGCGTCAAACTCCCCTGTGTTATAATTAATCATGCGCCAAACCCCTTCCAAGAACAAATTTAATTTTCAAAAACATGAAAAATGATTAGTTTTTTTGTATAATTTAGAAATTTGACAAAGTTACTTGCATATTCAACCATATTATTAAAAAGGGTGATTTCAAAATTGTACTATCTTCATCCCAAAATGATTTGCAAATTTGATTTTTCTTGGTCAAACTGTTTCATTTTATTCGCTTAATTAGGATGTCAATTTTTAATTATATTCTAATTTGAAGTTTACAAATTTAAAGAGATTTTAATGTAGTTTCTGAATATATAAATTTTAATTATTAAAAATTAAATTCAATATTGATACGGAACATTGACTTTTATTATTGGTTGATCAAAAAATGTTGACTTTGTAAAACAAGATGGTAATTTTTGTGGGGTGTGACGTGGCAATGCATTCACAGCAATCGAAGCTTTTTTTTTTGTTTTTTTTTTTGATAGCAAATTAAACTCACAGCAATCGAAGCTCTCGTTACATAATGATGATGAAATCTTATGTGAAAAAATAAAATATAAAAAATTATTGGCATGACTATCTGTAATGGTTGAATTAGAGTTCGTGCATGCATCGAACTGGTTTATTATTTGTAATTTTTACGAGTGGCACTTCGAACTGGTGCATGCATCAACATGGCGTATTGATAAATTTAATAATTGTTCTGTAAATAGCAGTCAGATACTCAGATCACGTTTTGAATGTTTTTTTTTGCAAAGAAAAGAATTAATCATTGAGTAAATCATCGTTCAAAAAGACAAAGTTTGGGACTTCAAAAAACCAAGAATGTGTATCAGGCACAGAACAAGCAGCTCTAGCAAGAATACGTTTTGTCGTTTCATTTGACGATAGGTAATGGAGCTAGGCCACCTTATTGCCATCGAACCACCAACCTCGGTCACCAGATCGCCATCGATTACCGACTTTTGTCGTTACTGTATAAAGAATGGTTTTAAAAAGAAGGGAGAACTAGCTCTCGAACTTACATAAAAAGTGCAAATCACCCCTTATATAGGAGGTTCTGTCCGGCCGTCGCCATTTGGGGAGGTTCCCGGTGAAATTTTTTAATGAAATTTTTTGACCATCTTATTCATTAAATCTAGTTTACTCATACCAAATTTCAGCTAAAAAAATCCAATGGGAACCGCCCCAAATGGCGACGGTTTGACAGAGCCTTCTATATAAGGGAGTGATTTGCACTTTTTATGTAAGTTCGAGGCTTATTTGGTAATTCTCCCAAAAAAGAATTTTTTGTTTGATTTACAAGTAACTATAAATTAACTGAGTTACAAATTTATTTACTCCAACTACATACGTAGTAAGTGTTTTGACGAAAAATTCTTCCCGTTGCATACCCGAAAATCTAAAGGGTAGGGGCGGGGTGGAGATATTAACGGGGGACGGGGCGAAGGTGGGGTTGTTTTAGATATCAGGTCGGGAATGGGGGAGTGCTAAATGTCTCATATCGGAAAAGTTTGGATGAACAAAGTGCTATATTAACACATGAACCACTCCTCCTATCAGGTTGACCTTTTATGATGGAACCTCGTGTCTTAACATGGTATCAGAGCCAAATGGATCCATGGTGTAGACCCCCTTATGAAAAAATGACGACATGATTATAAAAAAAATGACAATGACAAACCGATGAAAAAATGAATGAATGACGGTAGGAGTCAGACGAAGTATCTAGTCGTGAGGAGGGGTGCTAAATGTCTCACACCGGAAAAGTTTGGATGAACAAAGTGCTATATTAACACATGGGCTACTCCTCCTATCAGGTTGACCTTTTAGGATGGAACCCCGTGTGTGAACCCCGCCCCAACCCCACCTCATTGCCATCCATAGGAATAGTTTGACTTATTTCGCATGAAAACTAGAAGTACTTCTCCTAACTCTTCACCTAATAGTTGTATTTCCTTTGTCAAATTGATTTTTTTTGTGAATATATGATAATCAACTTTGATAATTACTTCGAATATCACTCCACCGTCGCCACCACAGTGACGTCGCATCACCATAGCGCCGCCTGCCACAATCACCATCAAACCAGTCACTACCCCACAAGCCCAACATCGCAGTCACCTAAACCCCATCCCCACCGCCCCTGTCCCCAGCCACCCCTTGCCCAACCCTCAAATGCCCTCAAGTGTGAGATGCTCCGGCAATTCCACCACCACCCTGGTGACCTACCAACACACACAAACCAGCCCCTGTCCCCACCAACCCACAACAACCCGCCCCACTAGCCCACAACAACCCGCCACCACCAGCCATTAGCCATGTTGGAACCTCATCTCCCTGCCCTTAACCTTGTCGGAAACCTTTCCCCTGCCCGGCCCTCACCTTAATCCTTGGATGTCTGAAGCTGCAGCCGCCGCTGTAACGCGTCTATTAGGGCCACCGAAACACTAGCCGATGGGAATCCTTCGCCATATCACCGCCCGAATAGGAAAATTTCCAGACCTGCTTAGAGTCGACAAGATCTGTTGGAGCCACCAAAGTTGATGTTAGATTCTAGATCCGACGAAGTACGCCGTTGGCTGTATTTGTTCTCCGGCCTTGTTATAACTGTAGTCGCACGACGTGATTTGTACATCGGTCACCATCGACGGCCACCTAATGTCGATGGTGCTGTCGTAGACGAATCTGAAGGCGGAGGTGTAGATGCTACAGTCGACGAAGAAGGTCAGATCCGCCAGAAATGGATCTTCAATTTGTCTCGAAGAAGGGGATTTCGAGTGGCGGGGGGTAGAGTCGTCATCGACGGAGTATTACCGTTGCCGCTGAGTACTTGTTAAATGTCCCACACTGGACATCTTTGGAATGATTAAACACTATATTAAGATCCAGACTACTTCTCCTATTAGGTTGACCTTTTAGGATGGAACCCCGGATCTTAACATGGTATCAGAGCCAAATCGATCCATGGTGTGGGGCCCCTTATGAAAAATGACGACAAGACGAAAAAAAATGACGAACCGATGAAAAAATGAATGACGACACGATCCAGACGAAGTGTCTGGTCGTGAGGAGGGGTGTTAAATGTCCCACACCGGAAAATTGAGAAGCACTAGAGTGCTATATTAACATGGTATCAGAGCCAAATCGATCCATGGTGTGGGAGCCCCTTATGAATCGTGATGACACGATTATAAAAAAAAATGACAATTACGGTCGGATGAAAAAAACGGACCGATGAAAAAAAAATACGAATGATGACACGATCCAGACGAAGTGTCTGGTCGTGAGGAGGGGTGTTAAATGTCCCACACCGGACATCTTTCGAATGATTAAACACTATATTAAGATCCAGACTACTTCTCCTATTAGGTTGACCTTTTAGGATGGAACCCCGGATCTTAACAGTACTAGACGTCGTCGCCGAAGCCTGGCGTACCCGCCGCTCGCCGCCGCTCGCCAGCTGCGCAAATGATTGGAGGTGGAGTAGATCTGTTCGTTTGCGTGAAGTCGGCGTCTGGCCTGGTGCGAGAGATTACAACGGATGAGTCACATTTTCGGGAAAAGGAAAAATTTTCGGAAAAAGGAAAAGTTGTTATATTTTTAGAAGGTTTTTTTACAAAAATATTAATATACTTATTTACAAAAATATGACTATTAATTACTATAATGTAGTATCATATTAACTTAAGTTTAAAAATTAAACTTGGGTTACTATAATTTCATTATTACTAACTTCGTCAATAATCACATTTTTGTAAGCAATATTCATTTTAGTCATAAATATGTAATTATTTCTTTTTAGAATGTAAAAGTCTCTAGGTAATAACCGGGCAATTTTTTCTTCAAAGAAAAAGGAAATCCAAATACTAGTATTTTAGAAAAATGCTACCAAGTATATTTGGTCCTCCTAAGACCATTTTACTCTCTCTCATCTCTATATATATGCATCACTATGTGCTGCCTAACTGTCTTCTTCAAACACACACATATATATCCTATTCAAGTTCAGTATTATCGTTTTAGAATCGGTGTTAGGACTTGGGAAGGTAGGTTAGCATGATGAATAATGAAATGGCGTTGAAAGTGGAAGTCTATGAGAAGGAGAACGTGAAGCCTCTCTATCCAACCCCGGAATCCTTAAGCACCTATAAGCTCTCCCTTCTCGATCAATTTGCCGGCGTTTTCTACATTCCCATTGTTTTCTTCTATGCCCACTCCGCCGCCTCTCCTCCCCATGATTACGACCGCCTCAAACTCTCCCTCTCCAAGGCGCTGTCTCTCTGCTACCCACTCGCCGGCAGGCAGAAGGACGACCTCACAGTCGTGTGCAACGACGCCGGCGCCGATTTTTTCCGGGCAAACGTCACCAACTGTGACTTACCCGAGCTCCTCCGGCATCCGAGGCTCGACCTTCTCCGGCAGCTTCTCCCCTGTAATCCGTACCCGTCAGAATTCGACTCCTCCCAGCCCTTGCTTTCCGTTCAGGTCAACAGCTTCCGGCGCGGCGGAACGGCAGTGGCGATATGCCTCTGGCACGGTCTTGCCGATGCGGCTGGGCTTGTAGGGTTCCTAAAGACCTGGTCGCGGTTCAACCTTGGAGAAGTCCGCCTCGACGATGACGCCAACCACGACGACGGTAGTTTCGTCGTCGACGCCACTCCGATTTATTCTCCGGAAAACTTGGCCTTCCCGGGACAGCCGGCACTGTTATCCTCTGAAGTAGCTCAGAGGAGACGGGTCCATAAAACACACATCGGAAAAAGGTTTGTTTTCTCCAAGAAAGAGATCGAACACATAAAAGACGAGATGCAGATGATCAATATGCCTTCCTTCCAAAGTCGCCGCCCGACTCGGGTGGAGGCGTTGTCCGCTTTCATATGGGCCGCAGTGATCAGGGCGACTCTTCGAGTCACCCCGAACCTGAAGACGCACGTTCTAGTGAACGCGGTGGACGTGCGAAGGAGGATTGACCCACCATTCCCTCCCAACTGCCTGGGAAATATCAATCAAATGGCCATCGCCAAATGGGCGACGGATGCTGGGCGGGGAGCCATTACCGCCCAGGCCGTAATCGGAAGCGTTCGAGAAGCCATAATGAAGGTGAATGACGGGTACGTGAGGAAAAAGGGTGGCAGATATTTGACAGAAATAATGAGGGCCACGAGAGTGAATAATCCTACTGAGAGTAATAAGATAGAAGAAGAAGAAATGAGAATACTTTCCATAAGCACTTGGTTCAAGTTTGAGTGTCTAAAGATTGACTTTGGATGGGGGAAACCTAGGTGGATGGGTCTGGGTATGAGTTTGGCTGATTTGGCTCTCTTTTGGGACGGGGAAGATGAGGGCATTGAAGTTTGGGTTGGGTTGCCCAGACCAATTATGAACCATCTTGACCAAGATCCTGACTTTACTTCACATGTGGCTTTTAGTCAAATTATTTGGGATCCCCAGCTATAAACTTCCCCACATTTAAGTTTTAGGGAGTATCACTATTGGAATTTGTACTGTCTACTTACCTTAATAAATTTTAATGCCCGGCCGTTTGAAAGTATGGTAACCCGTCCTATTGGAGTAGAAAAAAGATTGGGGTACAGACAACTCATCTCGCGACAGACAATTTGTCTGTGGGAGACAGACGAGTGTACACTTTTTGTGTACAAAAAGTGTGTACCCGTAGCAGGCCTCATTGGAGTATCACTATCGGATCTTGTACTGCATGTCTACTTTTTTTTATTAAGTTTTTTCTGAATTAAAATATCTATCTATAATAATATGTTTGTGTGAACTAAATGTTACTCCAAAATTTTATTTCATAGTGGTCTATAATAAGATTCCATGTTTGTTGTTCCATAGACATCTTAGCTTATTGGGAAGGGCAAGGACTACTATATTATAGCTTATAGATTTTAACCTATAATAAAATTAAATCCTCTCTATCGATAATTAAAATCACATATTCAGAAATTACAATAAAATCTCTTCAAAGTTACAAACTCTAAATTAAAATATAATTAAAAATGGCATCCTAATTAAGCAAATAAAATGAAACTATTTAATTAAGAAAAGTCAAATTTGCAAATCAATTTAGGGTGGAAATAGTATGACTTAATGATTGTACGATTAAGTCACAATTCTCATTAATTTTTTTTAGTAATCCGGCCCAATAAGGTACTACGTAGTACACAGTAAACTATGATATGATGACCAGCTCATTATATGGAGTACGTCAATCTGATATGTAACCAGCTCATTATATGAGTCATACCTTTGTGAATCTATGATGACCATATGTGCAATACTTGGTACTCCCTCCGTCCCGCTATGATTGTCTCGTTTTAACTTTTCGGTCCGTCCCACTAAGATTGTCTCATATCTTATTTGGTAAAGTTTGTGTGGTTCTAAATCATTTCTACTTTATTCTTACTTTATCAATTCAATACCAACCACATAAACCTACTTTTATTAATAACCGTGATACCTTCTCTTGTCCCAAACTTAGGGGGACGGAGGTAGTATGTGCCAACAAAAGTATGAGTATCAATCTTTCCGTTTCACAAATCTCATCTACAATAATTTTAGTTAGATTTTATACCATTTGAATAGTTAAAGCTAGAGATGTTAGATTTGTAGACTCCGTTAGTTTGGTAGTAGAAAAACAGTGGTTGATTTTGCTGAAATTTATGAAGTTCTGACCGAAATAGCTGCATTGACTGATTCTATTGATTCAAGAAAAAATTATTTTTAAAATATATTTTATAAATAAAATAAAGAAAAAATTATATGAAAAAATAGCTAAAACGATCATCTACACTAATTTCAGCCAATACAGCCAGAAAAGTAACTACAACCTTACTTTGTCTGCTTCCTACACAATTCAGCACGCGAAAACAAAAATTACGTGTTTGATGAAAAAGTTGGCTGATAAGCCTGATAAACCAAAAAATTGTGTTGTCAAAGAGTCTCTTGAAATGCTTAGCTTAGAATTGTTGTAATTGACATTTCCGCCTTCCATCAGCAATATCCCACCGTTCCATCAAAAACTTCTTCACCGTTTTTTCGTGTCTCTCCCCTAGGGGTGGACTCGGGCCGGTTCGGGCCCGGTTCGGGCCTGGGCCCGGCCGGGCCTCGGGCCAGAAAACTAGGGCCCGGGCCCGAACCGCCGGTGGGCGGTTCCGGTTCCGGTTCCGGGCCAAACCGGGCCGGGCCGGGCCAACCGGTCTATTATTTTTTTTTTTTTTTTGGTTCTCCTTTTTAACCCCCTACCCCTCCCCCTCAACCCCAAACCACCCCAAACCACCTCAAATGGCCCAAAATACCTAATCCAACCCAAAACTTAAAAAAATTTCAAAAAAAAAAAAAAAATTAAAATCCGGCCCGGACCGGGCCCGAACCGGCCGGGCCGGTTCACCAAATGGAGGGCCCGGGCCCGGAACCGGTATCCACCGGGCCGGTTCGACCCGAACCGCCGGTGGACCGGGCCACCGGGCCGGGCCGGTTCACACAGTAGCCGGGCCGGGCCGGTTCCGGTTCGGGCCGCCCGGCCCGAGTCCACCCCTACTCTCCCCTATTTGTTCATATTCTCCATTCACCTCCTCCCACGCGGACGGATCCGTATTTTTCTATTTCGATTTTCGATTTCCTCCATTCATTAATCACTTATACGATAGTATATGTTTCCTCGATCTCATTCATTCCGATCTCAACCTTCTTCCTCCATTTCTTAAACATATCCGTGTCGTCCATTTTTCATTATATTCCTCAATCGCACCTCTATACCTCTATGCTATTTTCGTAAGCTAACTCCGTAAATTGATTTGTTTATACAGATATATTTTTTGAAGATAACATAAAATTTATTAATAGAAGAAATGTTGAATACAATGAGGAATATCAAATAGGCAAGTATGCCAATCAGCTTGAGAACCATCTCCACCCGTACATTTTTCCAAGCTTCATTCTTCATCCAAGATAGGGCATCTTTCACCGCCATAGCTTCAGCCGTATGTGGATCTCCTATACAACGAAGAGGCCCGTTTTTAGTTGCAATAAAATCATTATTAGTAGATAGGATGACTGCCCCATAGAAAGCTTTTCCGGTCTCTGGATAAAACGCAGCATCAACTCTGCAAATTACCGCATTTTGTGCCACATCTGAGAATAGGATTTGAGCGAAGAAAACCAATCATTTAACACCTTTAGCACCATAAAATGAATTTCTGAGCGCAGTCATTCCAAATGAGCTCGTTGCGGGTAGGGCTGAGCAAAACCCGATCCGACCCGAAAAATCCGATATTTTTTTCGAATATTATCCGAACCGAAGTGGATATCCGACCCGAAAAACTCGAAACCGAAAATCCGATCAGTATTGGGCCCAGACCGGGGGGTGGGTAGGGTTTGTGAAATCCCAACCCAACCCACCAGAATATCCAAAATATAGGTTAGTGTGTACTTTGATATTTAAATTAATACTTGTGTTCAATTATTTGTGTAATTATTTGTGCATTTTTTATTAAATTATTTGTGTAAATTGAATGTGTAGTGCACTAATGTGTACAATTTTTTGTCAAAGTGGCATTCTAACACTTTAATTATCCAATTACAATGTGTTTTAATATATCCGAAATATATTAAATTATGTAGTGTGTACTTTGAATATGTTAAATTAATACTTGTGCTCAATTATTTGTGTAATTATTTGTGCAATTTTTGTTATATTATTTGTGGAATTTGGAAGTTTAGTGCACTAGTGTTTACAATTTTTGTCAAAGTGGCATTTAAACACTTTAATTATCCAATTATAATTTTTTTAATATAACCGAAATATCCGAAACCCGACCCGATATCCGATAATATCTGACTTAAAAATATCCGAAATATCCAATTTGAAATATCAAAGGGTTGGGCCTAGTCTTTAAATTAAAAAACTCGAACGGGTTTAGGGTTCGCAAACCCGACCCGCCCGAACCCAACCCATGCACAGCCCTAGTTGCGGGCTTTCCAAACAGTCCATAAGAGTGCTGTAATTTTCTTTTTGTCCTCCTCCAAACCTGAAACAAAAATTCCTGATAACCATGGAAGGAAAGAAGTGTTAAGATGAGGCTGAAGTTTTTTAAATGAGTCTGGCCACATGGTTTGCGTCCACGAATCGAATGGATGCTGCATAGATTCAGGAATTTAGATCAGATTCCAATCCCTTGTTAAATAAATGCAATTTCTTAAATAAAGCCCAATCCACCCTTATGTTTAGAAGCACAAAGGCAATCCCAAGACAACCAATGAACCCCACTGCCAGTCCCAGATTTTGATTGCCACCAAAATTTATTACAAAGCTTTTCAAGTCTTTCACAGAAAGAGATAGGAAGATAGTAGAGGAAGGATTTTCGAGAAAGGATTTTCTTCCCCCACCCACCAATTCTATGTTGAAATTTTGTTTCAATAAAGGAAAGTATCTCCTTTTTGTTTCTTCCCACCCCCACAGGGAAACCAAGATATTTACCGATATTGGGTGCTTGGGGAACATCGAGAGTCGCCGCTATATGATCTCTTGTATTATCGAGGAAAAATGCTAAAGGTACCCCAATTGGTACCCCAATTTGTACCCCACCCTATTTTTGTGGCTCACAAAAGCACCTCATTAAAATGGGGCAATTCATTTATTGAGGTGGGCTTTTGTGAGCCACAAAAATTGGTTGATGTACAAATTGGGGGTACCAATTGGGGTACCTATAGCAGGGTTGATTATGGAGTGTGTTGCGGCTGAACATAATGCAAGATTTATTAAAGTTGACAGTCTGACCCGACATCATCTCGTATTTGTGGAGGCATCTCGAGATACAAGCCATTTCAGCCCCATCCGCTTTAAAGAACAGCAAGCAATCATCCGCAAAAAATAGATGAGAAATACCCAGTGCATTTCTGGAAATTTTTACATTGGGACCAATGTCCCTGAGAGACTGCTCTGTTGATAATAAAGGCTAGACCTTCAACACAAAGAATGAATAAATAAGGGGATAGAGAGTCCCCTTGTCTAAGTCCTCGTGTAGGAATAATGGTCTCAGTCAATTCTCCGTTCACTAAAACACGATATCGCACAGTAGAAACACAGAGCATGATTAAATCAACAAAGTTCAGATCAAAACTCATAACCACCATCATTTGACGAAGGAAAGCCCACTCCATTTTGTCGTAAGCCTTTGCCATATCGAGCTTAAGAGCACACCAGCCAATGGAACCCTTTTTCTTTCTATTCAAATAGTGGATTACCTCTGAGGCTATGAGATCGAACATTATCTGTTACAGTATAAGTCTATTGGGTTGAAAGGCACTCTGCGTTTCCGTGATGACTGCTTCCAGCAAAGGCTTCAGCCTATTTGCAATCATTTTCGCCACAATTTTGTAAATGATATTACAAAGAGCAATAGGCTGTAAGTTACTTACGAATTCTGGTGTATCCTTCTTTGGAATTAAAGATATGGTAGCATCATTTAATCCAGGTGGGAAATTACGAGAGTGAATCATGTTAAGCACACTTGTTTATACGGACAAAAAAGTAGTCAAAGAGCACAAATAGGACTATATCTTTTACAACCATTCTTGGTGTACACGTTTTTGTACCCATCAGTACACGCATGTGTCTGTGAGAGTTTTTTTTGTCTGTGAAGTGCGGTCCACAGACAAAAGCTGGTTTGTTTTGTCTGTGAAATTTTCCACAGACAAAACAAGCGAACTTATGTCTGTGGACCGCACTTCATAGACAAAAAAAAACTCTCACAGACACATGCGTGTACTGATGGGTACAAAAACGTGTACAAAAGGAATTTTTGTATCTTTTAAACTCCCCCAGTAGGACTATTTATTGTGTTTGGACAAATATACCCTTGTAGCTTTTGAAATGTCTTAATTAATAATAAAATCATAAAAAAATAAAAAAAGTGTAAGAAAATAATAAAAAAGCGTAAAAAATACTATTTTTAAACATTTAAAAAAATACTAGGAGTAGTAAAATTTTATTAAATATTAATAAAATAAAAATATTTTATAAACACTGCCGCCTCTGCCAGGCGGTGGGGAAGGTATCCTTATTTAATAGGTTTTTACTATTTATTATTAATTTTAAAAAAAAAAAATCCAAAAAAATATACTCCTTATTTTTTAATTTTTTTAATTTTATAAATTTATTTTTTTAAATTGTTTTGATATTTTTTGTGATTTATTATTACTTTTTAAGATTTTATTATGAATTAAAACATTTCATTATGAATTAATGAAACATTTTTTAAAAAAAATTGTTTTGAATTTTTTTTGATTTATTATTATTTTTTAAGATTGTATTATGAATTAAAACATTTTATTATGGGGTATTAATCTAAAACATTTTTTAGATACCCGGTAGAAATCAATGTTTAGTCCTACTTTGCGGGGTTTAAAATGTAGTAGTCATATTTGTGCATTTTAGGAAATCTTTAGTCCTACCAAGAGCAATTTATATATCAACAAATAATTGAAGTAACGTGCAAGAATTAAAAAATGATAAGAAATACTATCTGTGTATCGTTGATAATCATGAATGAGCAGTGTTCTAAAAGGCGCCGTAAGGCGACGCCAAGGCGAGCCTATGCGTGAGGCTCCAATGAAACGCCCCGCATTGGTAATAGGCGTGTCAAAAGGCGAAAATTTTACTAAAACCTCCATATTTGACCTGCACAAGGCGTTTTCAAACCCCGAAGGCTTCTTATGCCAATATAATGCGTGGATGGAGCAATTTATAAGCGTGTACGAAGATGAACTCTTCTTTTCCCACCGGTGTGGGAAAGCTGTAAAGCATTTACAGAGTACAAAACTTTTCTTTCCCCAATCCCCTTCTACGCCAATACACGACTCCACAACCTCCATTACTCCTTGTCAATTACTTCGTATTATTATATTACTTGTAATATTACTATATACGGAGTATTAATTATACTCCATTATATTATGGCTATTATTATTATATTATAATTATTATTATTATTATTATTATTGTTATTATTATCATTATTATATTCTATTATCATCATCATCATCATCATCAACGATATCAATCTTATTGGACCTTTATCATGTTTATTAATTAGAGGTTTATCTCAAGTATTGTTACGTACTATAATTAAATTAATGAATAATAAATCTGACTAATTAATGACAGTAAGTATATTTTCATAGTCACTGTAATAGGTAATGTTAAAACATAATCATAGTTACTAAAAGATAACAAGTCATATTTTTGTCTAATATACTTATTGTGATCATATATTACATGGTATTTCGTTTTAGTAATATTATATTATTATTCAACGAGTTTTGCCTGTTCAGGTTTTTTTGTAACTGGTAAATATATTTGCTAGATCTAGGGCTCATCAAATCTTTTTAGTTGAGATTTTGTATAGTATGATGTTCTTGAATAAATTATTTAATATTGAATTTAGGTATTTAAGATTAGCTCTAGAAAATTAAAATAAAGGATAAAAAATCAAAACGCCTTTTCACGCCTTCTTCCCGCCTAAGCACGCCTAGGCTTCAAAGGCTTAAGGCTTGTATGTGCCGCCTCGGCGCGCCTCACGCCTTTTAGAACATTGTGAATGAGTACGTCTGGGGGATAACTGAAGAAGTGTGTGTCTCAAGTATTAGTGAGTGAAAATGTTTGTTCGCTTACATTGGATGCTAATGATATTTAAAACAATAGAAATAGAATCATCCTGTCTATTTCGTCACATCCGACTTGTCCGGCGGAAAAGTAGGAGCAGAACAGCCTGACACTCCTCTTCCATGATAGTATCTCTATCCCCTAACTTTGTCCCATTTATTTTACCTTTTTCGTCGTTCTCATTAATTTAGGTGATTACAATTCATTCTTACTTTATTCACATTTCATCAATTCAATATCAACTACACAATTCCATTTTTTCTTAGAAATTGTGACACCCTCTTGTCACAAACAAAGTGGGACAGAGGCAGTATTATCTTGCAACTCTAAATTAATATAGTCAATAAATGCTAATAATGGCATGTATATGTTACGTCTTGGCCTGGTCGTTCCGTCATTGTCCGACGGTTTGGTCCGACGGTTTTAGGCACGTTATAAAGACTCATCAGCTCTAATTAACTTCTTCCTTAATTACATTAATGATCATATTAATACATAAAAAGGCCCTAATAGCAAAAATTATGTCTTATAAATAAATGTATCATTAATTTTTATGATCAATTCTTATAAATGTAGAATCAAACTGTCAAATATTTGGTCAAACAATCTCACCTACATTCGTATCTGGATTATGCATTTTATCCATCCATTATATCCTGTCAAAATATTTAACTTTTTGATCTTTAATGTACTTGCTCTGAATTTCCATAATTTAAGGCTTCTGAATACAATACCTAAGCGTGTCTAGCTTCTGGTCAACTTTCAACTACTTACATTATATTCACCGCCAGCTATTCAATTTGAATATTTGATATACTCTCTCGTTGTCTCATTTAAATCCTTACTCCTCTTCACTATCCACTCACTTTTACATTTGAGTGGATAACATTAATTACCCCAAAAAGTGAAAGGATATGAATGACATTTGTTCTTCATTGATTTCCTAAAACACCGTGTCAAATTAAAAGAAAACGTCAAGATTCAACCGGGACGAAGGAGACTTTTTTTTTTAGGGAGGGGACGAAGGAGACTGGAGAGTACTAAAGTTTTGAGCCAAATTTTAAATCTTGTTGCGACAGCGGATTAAAGGTGTAATTGATTTTATCGTTAACATGTTGTTCATATTCCTGCTGAATATCATTATACGTTTATTATGCATTCAAAGTTGGAATGATTTTAGTATCCAATCATTCGAATTTCACATTCAGATTCCAAATGACAGCAAATATCACTTTGTTTTATTAACATCATCTTGATCATGTATATCGAGTCCAAACAATATATATTCAGTTTCAGATTTAATTTTCAGTTTTCTTTTTCAATTAATTCTTCTAGAGCTTCCAACAGCACATGGCTTCCGGATTCATCCAAGTTTGCTTTTTTTTTTTTTTTATGGACAAGTTTGCTTTTACTTCTTCACCGCTTTTGCTTTCATCGTCTAGACATATGACAGGAAATGAGAATAGAACTTCTCAATTTTTAATTTTGCTTACTTTATTTTTAACAAGTCATCGATTAACAATTATTTCTGTTTCTTAATCATAAATTTAGACCACGACTCAATAATATTAATTCTCAATAATTATTCCTCATATCTAAGCAATTATATTTCACTCTGTTCGGTATGTTCATTCAACACATAGATTAAACGGCTTTAAATATAAATATCATTTAATTTAAACAGACATTTTAATATAGATAGTCATCTCAATCTAGATAAGACTTAATTAAAAAGTAGGTAGTTACAAAGTGATTATACCTCTATAGGGTTACCATATTATCATATGGCGAGGCATTAAAAATTCAAGTATGCCTCATGTAGATTCCATTTTACACACCGATCAACTTATTTGTGCATGAGTAATGTTTTTTTATT